TCCAGAGATAGAAAATCCCTCTGGATCTCTGTGAGTTCAAGGCCACATTGGAAATAGCCAAGCATGGTGACACACACCTTTAATCCCAGAAAGCCAGCCTTTAATCCCAGGGAGTGGTGGTAGAAAGCAGAAAGATATATAGGGCGTGAGGACCAGAAACTACAAGTTTTTTGGCTGGTTAAGCATTTGGCCTGGTTAAGATTCAGGCTTTTGAGCAGTAATTCAGCTGAGACCCATTCTGGATGAGGACTCAGAGGCCTCCAGTCTGAGGAGACAAGACCAGCTGAGGATCCGGCGAGGTGAGATAGCTGTGGCTTGTTCTGTCTCTCTGGCCTTCCAGTGTTCACCCCAATAACTGGCCTTGGGTTTGATTTTATTAATAAGAACTTTTAAGATTCCTGCTACACTGTCTCTCTATTTTCATCTTTCTCCCTCCATGCTAGGAATGGAAGCCAGGGCCTTCCATATGTCAGGAAAGCACTGTCACTGAGCCACATCCCGAGTGGCATGGTTTTATAGGAAAAACCACATGTTAAACACTGACTTGACTTTCAGTAAACTGCACTGTATAGAGTGTACAGGCTATGCTTTATTCCAGTGTAGATCCAGTTCCTCACCCAATGTCTTAAGAATGCTTAGTATACTAATGCAATTGGAAAGTTAGGGTGTCTCACCCTACAGGGTAGGAAAGGTAAGGGATGGGGCTGAAATAGGCTATTTTCACTAGTTTGTGAAAGGCCTTCTTTCTATGAAATAGTACTAGAATGTTATCCTGTTGGAAAGACAAAAGGAGCCATAGAGATCTTTATTAAAAAAACGGAGAAGATGTATTTGAAGGGAATGCCATTGGCACTCTGGATAGTGTTCCAGTTGCTTTGCTCTTACAATAAATACCCTGAGGTATAACAACAGGCAGAACTACAGAGAAGGGAAAGGTTTTAATAATATTAATGTTGTATATGCTTTCCAGGACTAGAGGAAATCTCGCTCTTATGCAATTTATTATCTTTAGAAACACATCTGTGAATAGGGCACAGGAGTGCAAGGAGGTAGGAGGCAAAAGAATCAATGTGAGTTGAAATCCAGCCTGTGTGAAATAGTGAGATCTGGTCTTTGAACAAATGTCTTAGGGTTTCTATTGCTGTGAGAGACACCATGACCATGGCAACTCTTTTTTTTTTTTTTTTTTTTTTTTTTTTTTTTTTTTTTTTTGGTTTTTCGAGACAGGGTTTCTCCGTGTAGCTTTGCGCCTCTCCTGGAACTCACTTGGTAGCCCAGGCTGGCCTCGAACTCACAAAGATCCGCCTGCCTCTGCTTCCCGAGTGCTGGGATTAAAGGCGTGCGCCACCACCGCCCGGCATATCTGAACATTTTAAGAGGTCAGAGACTTATATTTTAAAGTACATCACATAAATTAAGATCCTTCGCCGGGTGGCGGT